CAGGAACATGAATCAAATGTGTACTTTATTCATTTACAATAAATTCATAATGTACATAATTTTGATTGAAGCTAAGGGCATACAACTGTTTAACAGAGGAACCTTCATCAAACAAGGGTTGTTAATAAGAGGAACGAGAAGAAATAGAGGGAATTTACACAGCTTTAATCCTTCAACTATAGATTTTGGGAGACAATGAAGAAGAGGGTTTGTCTTGTTCTTTGTTGTGGTCTACACAATAAATTATAGGGTAAAATACAAAAACAGAGGGATCTCAGTTGATTGTAGCTGAGATCAAGCGTTTGAAGGCTCCAAAACTCCGTAAGATTCATCGGAATCTCCCCGAATATGAAGTTACGACTAATGGTGAGAAATCGGGGGTTCTTTAACTGTGAAGCATGATCGGCTAACGCTGGAGAGCTCGGCTAACGCTGAAAGTTTACCGATTCTAGGATCACCTAGGTTCAATGCGATGACCTTGTTGGCTTCACAGTACACACCGACGAAGTTGCACGGGTTGGAGGTAAAGTCCCAGGACGAGAAGAAATTCGAGCTTGGCATGTCGTTGAGAGCTTTCCGAATCGACTGCAGGGCCAAGAAATCGAGAGGGTGTGACGTGGAGAGTAGAGACTGCAGGTCCACCGAAGCTCTTCATCATCTCCATCCTGAAGAACAGTGTTTGAGCGCTGAGAGGGGTATTTTAGTAAAAGTAGATGTACAGTAATTCGTAAAATGGTAAAATGGATATTTTAAAAAAAATATCATTTTTTTTAATATTTTCCATATTGGTCATTAACGGGAGAGAAATATTTATTGAATTTTTCAAAAATAAAGGGAAGGTTTTTTGCTAAATTAAAACTATAAGAGAGGTTTTATAATTGTCGGTTTTTTGTATTTTACCCTAACTTATCGGCTAGAAATATTAAATGAAAATTCCTGACCCCATATAGAAGAGGGTCTTTGTAACTGGAACGTTTTTTCCTTGGGTATCCACAATTAACGCTGGAGTGGGAATGTGGGATTGGATAGAATGGGCTAACAGTAACTGGAGGTCTGCTCTTCTGCACGTATCCCTCTGAACCTTGACGTAATGACGCTAAGCTTTGCTTGTTTTTTTTTAAGCCAAATCATCGTTGTAACTAGGCGTCTTTCCTGTGCACGTGGAGCTCCATATTTTACAATTTACACCTCCCAAAACACCGGGCAAGGTTCTGCGTACCAAGTAGACTGAACCTTGGCCATGGCCGTTTGTGCACATGAACTGAATCTCATTGTGTCTCCTTCCACCCTGTGAACCCAGATTCAAGAAGAAAAAATAAGGCAAAAATTGAGTTCCAATTGTTCGTGAAAATGTTAAAATAGTGTGACGGGGCCAAGATTGCACGTTCAAACTAATGCCCCCCCCCATTGGGTCCTTCTCCCCCAAAAAACTGAGGCCGCTCATGCATTGGCAATGCCTTGTGTTGCGTCCCGCTCCTTCGGCACAAATCTTGGCAGGGGATCTTACAGCTCGGCCCTTGACCTCATGTATTATTGAACTCACCTCACTTGCAAACCTTCTAAAAAAGAATTCTTGTTGAATTGAAATCCCGTGATTCCTGATGCCATGTACTCCCCTCTTTTGCGTCCCTCTATCCACCTTTTTCACCCATTAGTCCCTTCTAAAGTTTTAATTCAATGTGGGGCCTCTTCATCTCTAGCTCCGTTGGATTTTACATCCGGCGGTTGGAAAGAGAGGGCCCCTTTGTGTCCCCACCATCCAAATTCCGATGACATTCACAATGCGCTTTTTTGAAACCACCAATCAAACAGGTGGCAGGCCTGACTTTCCAACTCAGCTGGACCACATGGGTGGGTACCCATAAAGAAAAAATGAGTAATTTATGTATGGTTCAAAATATATGGACCACCCTACCCGGTTAGTAGTTGACCGTTATATCACATGGGCTCAATCACATTGTTGAGTCCTCTGATCAGACGGTTGAGATTATCCATAGCGAATCTAAATAGTTAACCAACATTTAATGACCTAGATCCGAAATCCATTAGGTGTAAAGGCAGAATCCTGTGCATTAGATACACAGCAACGTGTAGTCTCAGTTCCTCACCACCATTACTGCACCAGAGGAAAATAAATATTATAGTAATTATTTAAAAACAAAAAATGAAGGGCAATTTGGTAAAAGAGGCTCAAAAATCGACAGCCCTCGTTCCCACCCAAAACCCTCGCGTCGGAAAAAGTTAATGATAACACATAGCCAAAAGAAAAAAGAAAAGGAGAGAAGCCAACAACCCATCATCTTTCTCTCTCTATCTCTTTCTTTTATTTTTTTCTCTCTCCATCATCTGTTTCTCCTGAAGTCTGAACCCCATTCTTTGGTTCTATCTCCTGCTGGCTTCTCGCCATTAATGGAGTCCCTTGAGACAGCGGCGTGCTTCGTGGACGACCTTCTCGACTTCTCATCGGACATCGGCGAAGATGACGAGGAAGACGACCACAACAGCAGTAACGACACCAACAAGAACAACGAACCTCTCTCTTCTTCCTTGACTCTGCCTTTGGACTCCAAACTCTCAAATAACACCCACCACCAAGAACCAACTGGCTTGACCATTTTCGACCCCGATGAACACCATCATTCCTTCCCCGTAAGTATCTCTGCCCTTCTATCTGTTGCGCTCTACCTCTCTTATTTTGCTCCCTTTTTGGCTTCTTCTGTTTTCGGCTTTCGGCCGAGTCGTGTTTAGACTCGGGGCAATTCGAGGCAGAAGTTATTTCGGGGTATTTGAACCCAGAGATGCCTACTGAGTGCTGACTCGTTTGGATTTCAAAATTCAAAGTAAAAAAAAAAGTTTCTTGACTCGGCCTAGAACGTCCGAGTCATGGTTGGTTTTGAAACTCGGGCGGGTAAACACGACATAGCCATAGCCGACACACTTTATTTATGCCAAACGAATGCAGTGCCGAATATTGCTGTTTATGCCTTCACAATCCAAAAAGGAGACAACCCAAAAGGAAAGATTCTCATTTGACAAATGGGGAATTAACGAATCGTTCAAGTTGCCGAGTTGACTCAGAATAATGCGATACGAGTTACTTATTCGTTTGCGTTGTTGCTTGTCTTCTCTCTCTCTTTTTTTTTTTTTTTTTTTCAGGAGTTTCTAGAGGAAGAACTGGAATGGTTATCAAACGAGGACGCCTTTCCGGCGGTAGAGGCATTTGACGAATTCCTGTTAGGGAAGCTGAGCAAGGGCCCGAAGCAGCAGAGTCCTGTTTCGGTGCTTGAGAGCAGCGGTAACGGCGCCATTATGAGCTATTGTGGCAACCTCCGTGTTCCGGTTCGGGCTAGAAGCAAGGGAAGAAGGCGCAGGCGAAATGGGTATTCGGATATTTCAGGTCAGCAATGGTGGTGGTGGTGGGAACCCAAGAACAAGAGCAGTGGCGGAGGAGCTACCACGACAAAGGCAGCAAAGTCGACGACCACCACCACCACCACAACAATGGGGAGGAGGTGTCTGCATTGTTTAGCAGAAAAGACGCCTCAATGGCGAGCGGGGCCACTTGGGCCGAAGACACTGTGCAATGCATGTGGGGTGAGGTACAAGTCAGGCCGGCTTGTGCCCGAGTACCGGCCGGCCAGTAGTCCAACTTTCCAAAGTGAGTTGCATTCCAACTCTCACAGGAAAATATTAGAGATGAGAAGGCAGAAGCATAAGGAGGTGCTGCTCAAGTCAATGGACAAAGGGTAGCTGCAGTATGTTTGCCTTTTCTTCATTAGATAGTGTAGCATTAGAGTTGTTGTAACAGATAGATGGTCAGTCTTTGTTTCTTCCCATAAATCCAGTTTTAGGAAAATTTTGACTTCTGGTGGTGTTTCCATTTGTATTTTAGGAAAGCAAAAGAAAGTGTTTATTAGTGTTATTCATTTATTCATTGCTCAATTGCGATTGTTTCTGGTGGAGACGATGAAGTTTGAGTTGCCAACAGCTGTTGGCTACAAAAATCTATTGGCACTGTTAATTTGCAGAATTGGTCATCGAATTTGGTTGAAGAGTTGTTGGAATGAAGTTATTGGATTGTGATGGGTGGTTGTGAAAACCAGGACAATTGGTGTTGATGACGATTCAAAGAGTTGGCCTTTGCTCGCAGTTGAAAATGACATTCAGCAAGGAGTTAATTTGGCTATTTTAATCATGTTAACTTCTAGTGATCTAGTCGAGACTCCAGAGGTTAGAGGCATTGGCCAACCCCTTGACCTCAAAAACTACTTGTTGGTGAGACTTTGCAGCAGAGCAGCTTGGATTTACAATTTTCATTTGGAGATTGCAAATGAATTACATTTCTAATTTCTCATAGTTGTTGTTGGTGAGTTTACTTCATTCATTGTCACTCTTCCCATCATTGATTTGGATTCAGGTTTTGCATTGGGTTGACTGAAACTAATTCTCTTTTGCTAATTCTGTTGATACAGTTGTTTGAAGACACTGCTTACATGAATTCATCTTTTAAATACTTGCATAGATATTTAACTTCATCCAGGATCTAGCAAGAAATAGCCGGAGTTTTACTTTGCTCGAGAAATCTGTGAGAGTAGAGATATTGCAATTGATCTTTTCTGTTTCTTTGGCAGTGACAATAAAATCAGACTTGCTTGGGTTTGTGAGTTATTTCACGAGAAACCCAAGGCATGAACAAAAGGGAAGTGCCCTTTTATGATCTCCACATTAACAGGGTCACAGACTTTCTTTTCAAAAATGAAATAAATGACAAGACCAAGTCGCTGCTCATGACTTTGCCACTCTCCTTTATAACTAATGAGAATAATTCACCATCCAAAAATCTCATCTTGTTCAATTTTACAGCTAGGTGAGTTCTAGGGCCAAAATTTTCAAAGGGATTAGTTAATATTTTTACTAATTTAACATGGCTTGACTACGCTACTTTACACCGTTGGTCTCAATTTTGGATAGAGGAAGGTGGTGTCAAAGTTGGTAGTTGGCATTAAAATTTTTGCCAAATTCTCATGATCATAGATCTTGATTTTCTTTTTTAATACTCGTATTAAGATGTCTGGGAATGAAGGTTAGGATGAAGGTTTAAAATATCGATACGCCCAATATGCCGGTATGGGCTTATTGGGCGAATCAATACTATTTTTTTACTTTTTTTTAATTTTTTTTTTCTGAAACCGGTTCAGGGGGGTCGGTTTAGGGCTCCTTTTACCCCCTGAACCGGTCAGACCCCCGATACACCCACTATAGGGGCATATCAGTGGGGTCCCAGAACGATACGTATTGACCGATATGGGTTGATACTTTGAACCTTGGTTAGGATATGCATCTATAATTTGGTGATGAATATGGTACCGAATAGAAAGGAATGGCAAAACAGGATTCATGTGACCAAGGCTTGAATGATGATGAAGATAAACATGGCTAGGGGTAGTCAATTGGATTGAATTTGGTCCAATCCAATCCGGTCCAATACGAATCCATTACAGATGGACCAGGTCTAATATAATTTGATGAATACTATGAACCATTTTGGACCAGTCCAATTCAACATTTGGACTGTCCAATCTATTCATATTGGTTTTAATTTACATTGGTTCTAAGTTCTAACCCAAACTTGGTCCATGGACACCTGTATTTTTATCTTTTGTTAATGGACTGAATATCGGTTCAATATGATCCAATCCAATAAATACTTTGGACCATTGACACCCTAAATATCGACTAGTCTAATTCAATTGTCTGTCCAATCGACGCCAATTGATTTTGATTTAGACGGGTCCAACTAGGGGTGGATTCGAGCTGAGTCAAGTCGAATAGTATGAGGCTTGAGTTTAGCTTGCCAAGGTAATACAAGGTTCGAGCTTGGTTCAAGCTAGAACCTTGAGCTCGAGCACGGCTTGAGTAAAAAACTCGTAAGCTCGAGTTCGATTTGAGAAAAAAATGTTTTATAAAAATAAAAATTATATATAAAAAATATTTTTTATTTGATATTTAAAAAATAAAATATATATATATATATTTAAGCTTGGCCCGGTTTATTAATCAAGTAACTCACGAAGAGCTCGGCTCGTGACCACCTTTAGGTCCAACCCAAAACCGGTCCATTACACCCCTAAATATGGCTTCACTGTTAGCAAATCAGCATTGGGAGAATGGGGGGACATCAGGTTCCTCCCTCTTGGGTTAATCACAAAGCCATTGAAAAGTGCAAGATAATAAAAATAAAGCTGAAGCTTCAAAGTGGGGCTTTCTCAATGGTTTCCTACCAGCATTGAGAATCACGAAAATTTAAGAAAAAAAAGAAAGGGAGACTGTTATGTTGCTTGGCTGTGGAATAGGTTTTGTGTCTACAAGAACATGCTGTTTGTCAAAATATGGTACATAATTGTGCTAATAAGTGAGGAGAGAGACGCACATGCTAGGCACATGGGGAGATGAGGTTGGTGAATGGTGGATGACATATGAGGCTCTAGTTCTACCAATGACTCCAGCATGTGGCATTATGAGGCCTTTTGAATCACTTTGTTGCGTCTTGTGGTGTTTTTAAAGTGGCAACACTTTTCTCTGACATTTGTTTGTCGTAGCATTCGTTTAAGTGTTTCTCCCATTGGCTGCGTAGGCCTAGCTCGTACAGAGTACTAAACGCCAGATTAGCACTTGTTTCCAAAAGTGAAATAAGCATTTCCAGAAGGTGTTTCTGGGTTTCACTGTTCCACAGAGACCAAGAGAAACCAATGAGTCCATGGATCATCATTTCTGCATTGTTTTTTCTTTGCTTCCGTTTCCTCAATTCCCACGGAATATCTCCAGTGAATAATAACGTGTATAAGTATGGATGATATTCCTAATGCATGGTGGAATGTGTTTATAAAGGTGGTGTAAGGCGCCTTATGTGAGAAGCACATCCGATCTGATCTCTTCTCACGAAGTTTAGGGTGGGGATGGGGATAAATTTTTTTTTTTCTTGTAAAACGCTAAAATGGGAATGGAAAAATTTCCGTCCCCACACAGGATGAGAAAATAATATCACAACACTCTTCATCCTCTGGGGAGGGGATTATAAGTTGTAGTTATTTTATTTTAAAAATTTGGAATAAAATAGAAATAAAAATCAAATGAATTTAACACCATAAAAATGGAGGGGAAGGGATCCCTGTGGGGAATTGAGATGGGTCGACCTTGGGGGATGATTGGCATCGATGCCGATTTCCTGAAATTACTGCCATGTCGGAGTCATGTTAGTGATAGAGGAATGGGTGCTGAAATTTTTGTTTGGTTGGCCAATTTTAGTGATTTTCAGAAAATCAGCCAAAATTGATTATTGAAATTAGCCCTTTTTGGAGATCACCATTTTTAGAGGATGGGATGGCATCCAATATGACATGAATAATAATACCTCAATACAAAAATAATCAGACATGGAGAACCAGTACGGAACAGACTGAAAGTTAATTTCCCAAAAGATCGACTTACATGGCACAAATGATACTAAATAATAAAATTTATTGATTTTTAAAATATCAATAAGAAGAATCAACATCGATGCCAAAACATCACCCCGTTCTTTATTGGTGGGGACGAGGATGAGGATTGGGAGTGGCTCCTCGTCCCCACTCCATCCTGTGGGGCGGATGTAGAAATAGACCCGTTTGGCCATTGGCCACGGGATGAGCAGTTCAACTCTTTGGTTTGAATTTGTCTGATTCGTTCAAAGAAAAATGTGAAAAAATCAAATAATATAAAATACTTTTGGATTATCTTGTAATAAATGCTAGCTAGAGGTTAAATTTTTACCACAAGTCAACATTATTTTTTTAATAATTAAGCTATAAAAAATCATTTTAGTTACAAGTTCCGGGTTGAATCGTCCAACTATATCATTGACTCATCATAAATTCATAATTATAGAATATGAAAGAATACGGGATCAGATTTATTAGGCACAACATAATTAACACGGCACTTGATAAATATTGTGACAATTGTCTATTAATCTTTTTTAAGATAGACTGAGGGTATTTTAAGAGATAGGTGTCAAAAAAAATTTTAAGTATTCATTTAAGATGCTTATAGTATTGTGCCTATCTGATTCGGATTGGATTTAGATTAGATCTAGCACAAAATTGACCCAACTTGTGAATCCCGTCTCAACCCAACCCAAAAAAACAGGGTTAGGGAGGGTCTCATATTTAACTACCTGAATGCAAGAATAGTCCGACCAGACCTGACCGGAAAAAATTGGGTTGAATTTGGTTGGGTCATGAGTCAACCCACTGACTCAATTGTTAAGTCTAATTGGGACTATTTATGCATTATTAAAAATTTTCACTCTTTAATTTTTTCTATTTAATCTGTACACCTAATAACCATTTGGAAAATGTGCTGATCCTCGGTTTTTCCTGACCCAACTTTATACATCAACCTAGCATTCATTTTAAAAGATTTTGAAGATGCAAATCTCATTGATGGTGAAAGTAATGCTTGGAATAAGGTGATGTTTTTGATCTAGCGGCTTCTCAATTATTCCAATTTTGACAATAGATGGTTCCTTAGCTTGGATTTTGAGCCCCATAAAAATGGGGCTCCATGTGCAGTGTCGGAGATAATCAATGTGTCATTTTTATGAGATTGTGACATTGTTTTAGAGAATTTGATTCAATTTGAATACTTGTCTATTGATACGACTAGATTCCGATCACCAGTTAGAAGATGCCATATGGCACTGAACTGGGGGCAGAGCGGAGATTTCCTAGACACAATGAGATTGGTAGACTGCATTTATGCTGACAATAGGCTTTGCTCCCAATTCTTAATATTTGGGCCCTATTGTTTTCCCTTTTCACTTTTCACTTTTCACTTCCTAGGTAATCGAGTTAATTCCTGCAAGTGTTTTTCCGGCAAGAAATGGCCAAGATCGGTGTCAATGTTATTGTGTGTTTTCACTTATCCGATGAAAGAGAAAGGTGAAAGGGAATTAGGCCCTGTTTGTTTTTTGATAAATTATTTATCTGGGTAAGTGTATTTATTCATGTTTTTTTTTTTATTTTTTAGATAAATAAGATAATAACTATTTTAGTCATAAAAATCTATTATTAAAAGAGGTATTTTTGTCCCATTCAAGTGTTAGTAACTTTTTTTTCTAGGTGAAAAAGTTATTTACCCACTTAGGAGATGGATATCACTTACCTAGAAAATGAACATGGAATTCTTGGTTAGTGGGAACCAAAATCCCATTGACCAACTTTCCCCACTCTCAAAATCCTATAAAAGATTGCCCCTTAGTATTATCAAGGGGTGGGTAAGCAGCTTATCCACTCTCTCAATAGGTAATTGATGCTCTTTGAAAAATTCACTTACTGTGAGACCCAATATAGTGACATAAAAATATGGAAATTGTAATTAATTACTCAATTAACCAATTTACATCTC